GGAGACAAGGAAATAAAGAAAAAGGAAAGAAGGAAAGAAAGTAATAAATAAATAGCAAGGAAGGACAAAAAAGAAAGAAAAAAATAGGTAGTTACTTAGTAAATTGTAGACGATATCTAGATATATTGTTTTACAAATCAAAATGAATTAAGTCCTTTTAAAAAGAGTACACTCCATCATGCATCATGGGGTGCTGTTGCTTTACAAGTATCTGTTCTCCACGGCTAGTTCTGAGTTCTGCAGATCTACTGAAACTAAAGGACAAAGTGTGGCAAATGCTGCTATTATTACTGCTGAATTTTGGCATTCTCATTGTCCTACAAGTCATGTTGTAGTCTGAATAGTCCAGCTCATTCTTGGAAATATTTCATTACTGCAGATGAGTATAAAATGCTAATGGAGCTGCACTGTTATTCCAGGACAATAAAACAACAATAGCACAAACCCAGAAATGACAATAAAACAAACTCTGTTTTCCGAGCTTGGAAGTTTATCTGTTCATTTCATTGTGAGAAATCAAGAAGTGAGATGGGAATGGAAGAAATGTTTTATGCAATCATCTGGGGAAGAAAAGTGCTTGTTGTTATCTCTGGCATTCTAGCACTGCCTCTGCTGCACACAAGTTAAAAAGCTGAATCTTACAAACATAGAAAAAGAAATATCAAAAGAAAAAAAGTATTTTGGTTACTCAGCAGACTTTATCAATTTATTAATAGCAACGTAATCATCATTTGTAATAACGTAGGTGTATGTAAATTTATACATATACACACAGCCCATACATAATGTGCATGCATGTCTGCACATATATAAATAAAATACAACAGACATAGGCATACATGTATATGCTATGTGTGTGTATATATATATACGCCATATGCAAACACACATATATAATATATATTATATATATGATCAGTTCATAGCACAGTCCAGAAAGACTTTATAAATGAGCCTGATTGTCATATTTACTCAGTGTACACGATTTAGTTGACAGTGCAAGCATGATGAATATGCACATATACTCACCCTTCATTGTGATTTGAACATATTTCTTCTTCTTCTCTACTCATTCTGCTACACTTACCCACCTTTTCATTAACAAATGCAAACTATGTATAGCTACAGTTTATAGCTTGTCTACTGTGATTATACATTTTATGTACTACCAAGAACATTAATGATATAGGTCAAGGTTATCCATACTGGTGGCTCTGTAGAACATTTGGTCCTTTAGAAGTTTAACATACTGCTATGTTATTGCACAATGCATTGTAACATTATTTATTCTCTGAAATGACTCAGTCTCACTAGTAAATCAAAAAGAAGATGCCATTAAGTACATTTTCAGGGTTTTGTGATTATTTTTGGTATACATTCTTTCAGTGCTTGCGAAACCCACCTGTTCGCTTTCAGGCTGGAGCCTGCTTTCCAATAGAAGAAGCATCTCAGATGCCTTTTTCTTCAGCTCATAAGAAACTAAGACAGAACACAGCACATAGAAACCTAGCACACCCCTCCACCACCTGCAGCCTCCTCCCACTGCACAGTAAGAGCGGACTCTGACATCTTTTTTTTCCACCACTGTTATTTTGAAAATAAATTTCAAATTCCTTTAAAACACAACATTCAGGTTCTCAAGAGACTGGTTTTCACTGGATGCTTAGTCTTCATCTAGCTTTCTGTGTGAACTTCCAAGACAGTCTAGATAAAATCTTAAGGCCCACTTTGTAGGAATCTTCCTCTGGCTTTTTGTGTGTTTCCAGTTCAGTAGTGGTTAAGAAATAACATCTAGTTTATTAAAGAAATACTGAGTATGGCTTTATAGTTACACTGTCATGTTTATTTGTAATGCTGCCTTTTCAGTGACATCGAGAAGGGTAAAACTTCATCAGTGTCCACTGTTCACTTTTGAAAATGTTCAGAATCTTTATGAGCTAGCTCTAAAAGGTTCTGAAGGAAAAACCTAAAGTGCCTCAATAAATAATACATGCGAGCAAATGATATATTAAATGTGCTATGGGAACGCTTACAAAAATAAAATGCTTAATTTATTAATTAAATATCCCCAACACAAATATGAAGGACTATTTTGATCTGGCTTATATCAATAACAAAAAGAGAAAACGGAAAGAAAGATCACTTTTTTGCAGTAACGCCCCCTCACAGAGGGAGGCAAAAGTCTTGAGGAATAGGTAAGGTAGGTTTTCATTTGTAAGAATTAATATTAAAAATAATCTTAAATCTAAATTCGAAATCATCAACTTCTGGTTTGAAAAATAACATGTATGCCCATGCAGCTGTCATCAACACAGTGGCCATGCAAATGTTGTACACATACAATGCCAATAAAAACAAAATGATACTATTTAAGAAAGAGTGGATGTTGGTAATGACAGCACTAGTACCAATACAAACATGATGCTGAGCTCAGGGTCTTGGCACTCTTCAGAGTAAGCCATAACCTCAGAGTAATTTGTTTTCTCTAGAGATCTCTATCCCCTGCCATGGCTCAAATATAACCAGTGATCTCCGTACTTTAGATTACTCATGTTATATCAGCCTATTGGATCTGTAACATTGTAAAGGCATTTTAACAGGGCTAATGTCCTCCATTAGCCCCTTCTAATGAAATATAAGTTATATTGTTATGAGTTTGCTATGCCTGCTAGGATGTACTACAAGATGAGTGATAGTTTCTGCACTAAGGGCATTAATCGACAAAGACCATGCACAGTTTTGCCTGCATGGTTAAAAAAAAAAGAAAAAGGATTGAGGAAAGAAGGAATATGCTGCTGGATAAGCACAGTATAAGATACACCTGCCCCAGCATCTATAGCTTGTCCTATCATATCAAAATCCTTAGTTTCAACATGTGATCCTGAAATTAATACTGTACATTAATAAGCCTAGCTTCAGCCTTTATTTAAAAAGACTAGCTGGAGAACGTTTTTATACCAGTGGCATGACATTATCCTACCAGAAGACAAAATAAGGGCATGAGTCTACTTTATCGTGCTGTAAAGTAATTGTGTGCAGTGCAGGCAGCATCTTTTTCCATTTTACTTGTATCTGGCAATGCCAGGAGCTGGCAAAGTACCTCCTTGAACAATCCCTTTAGTCCTCAGAAAGACTCTTCATGGAAAGTGCTAAACCCCCTCTTGTCTTCTATCAAATAATTTCAGTGTTTTTTTGTGGGGTTGGATGCCATCTGATCCCCTAGTTCCTCCAGATAGTGCATCACACAAGACTGTCTTCCTTCCATCTGGCTTTATCTCTGCAAGGAACATGCTTCATGTAGAGAACACCAGTCTTCTTTTTCCACCCACATGCTCAAGCAAAAAAAATGAGGTGAATCCATAGAAACTCCCCGTAGTTGTACAGCAGAAATCACAAAGTTCGAGTCAAATGTTTTTTTCCCTTTTTTTCATCCACATCAAAGGCATGAATACAACAAGGCATTGTTAGTTGTGGTGGGCAAACTGAAGAGTCTGCTGATATAACAGATCAGGTTTTTAAGGCCTTTGTCTATGCAGAGTTACAATAATGCAGAAGCCAAATTGATTAGAAAGACAGGAGAGAAGAAAAAAATGATAGAAACTGAAAGAGAGAGAGAGAGAGAGGAGATACGTCTCAGTAATGTCTAAAAAGTCAATACTGTGTCTACAGATGGAGAAGTGCACATTGCTTGCCCTTTGAAAGCTTCTCCGCAACTTTGTCATTAATACTGTCAAAGTTAAGAACACATTTTAATGGAGTTCAGCGGCAGTTGAACACATTCATTCCCACAGCCCGTAAGAAGAAATGTTAGGAGACTTTAGCCTAAAATATCCAAGTAGACTGGAGATGCCTTGGCCAAGTTCTGGAGGAGGGAATGGATTTCTTTGATGTTGAGCCTCATGTGAGGCTCCCGCTGCCAACAGCCCAGCATCAAGTCATACACTTCCTTAGGGCATGTGCGAGGTCGCTGCAGGACTCGGCCCTGAGTGATGCACTCAATCACCTATGAGAAATCAGAAGGAAAGGATCAGCTTAGCTTTGCCATCTACATGTGGGTCACCTGTGGAACAGTTATCTGATAATATCCACAGCAGCCTCACTGGTGGCAGTCACCCAGCCAACTCTGCTAAGGGCTGCATTTCTAGGTAGACGCACAAGCAGTGGGATGTGATCTGGAAAAATCACTGAAATGTAAGTTGTCAAGGAGCAATAATTTCACTGATGTTAAGTTCACCCACGTTGTCCTTTCCACTCATGAAGGAATGACAGCCAGGAAGTAATCCTGTACCTCCTCTCTCTATCCACCTATCAACCTCATCTCATCTCAGAAGGAGGCTGTTTTCACCCTGTTCACACAGAGCATCAGTGCCCCTCCCTTCCTCCTCATGAGCATCACTGTGGTTAATCTCTGGAGATGGGTTACTTGTGACTGCCTGGAAATCAAGAGATCTCCAGATTATGTTGATCTATTCAAGAATGATTTTGGACAATCACTCTGCAACAATGACATGTATGACACGGAAACAAAATCACCCAAAGCCTGTTCAGTAGATAGCTAAGCTCCTTTTCATTGCATCATGGTCTTTCTCAATACCCAGAGCAGGTATATATCTGATATGTATATCCTATACAAACGAAAAAGCTAAATGCCAACTGGCATAGTTCTGCTTGGACAACTTCCATCCACTCTGAGGAGAAAAAGGTGAAACAGAAGAAATTCAACCACAAAGTTCATGACAATACCATAAATACCTGACATCGGGGTTTTGCCTTTCCTAAATAAATTTGTTGCTGTCCCTTCTCCAGAGAAGCTACACCAACAGTTAACGTGCCAGCCTTCCCAACACAGTCTGAGAATGTATTACACACACCTCATTGTTTGAGAGCTGATACCATGGCTGCTTGCCATAGGTAAAGATTTCCCATAATACGACCCCCAGGCTCCAGACATCACTTTCTGTGGTGAACTTCCTGTACATGATACTCTCTGGAGGCATCCAACGAATGGGCAGCATGGTGTGGCCCCCAACCTGAAAAAAACAACCGAAAGAGTCAGAAATAATTCCTCCAGACCCTCACAAGGAAGAGTATCAAGATGTTAAATAAGGATAATCCATGGTTTCTTTTTACCCATCTGATACCATTTACTTTGAGAAGCTTTTAAGGACTAAGAATTCATGGTCCAAACTCCTCTCCCCTCAACAACTATCACTACCATGATAGTTTCCCAACAGAATCTCCAAAGACATTGCTTCTGAAGTGCAAAGTCACCTTTAACATTTACTTGGCACACCCTACCCAAGGAACAGGAAGTTCTACACAATTATTCATTATTTTAGCCTAGCAACCCACTTTAAATTAGGACAGTTTTACTCCCCATTTTAACACTCAGGAAACTAAGAAAGATTCAGGAAATGAAATCTGCAATGACAATTCTCTTACAAACTCAGCAATATCAACTGAAATCTATGAAGACACAGTGGTCTGACTGCATGACATGGTAGGATCAGGATCTGTACAGTTTAATACCCTCATTATGAATGAATTAAAGCAATGCTATTTTATGTTGATAATTTACAAAGTTAATGCATCAAATTATTTTGTTCCACATTAACTACCCAGTCCTACACAGCTTTAAAAAAAATTTTGGTTCTTTGGATATATTCCCTTGATACCAAATAACTTGTACGACATGGACTCCTATCCCAAATCAACTCATGTTGAACGGGATCTTTTACTGAATGAATGCCTTTCTGAAAGTCTGTTAGAACATTTTTCATTTTCCCCAGAATGCTATACTTCCTTAAAATCAGGTTTCCTAACCTAATTTAAATTTTTTAAAAAATCTCTCATTTCCAGTTTCTAAACAATTTATTGTTCCTTATATGTCCCATTCTGACTGGATCACATCAATAAAGAAATCCACTTGAATTCTTTTAAAATAGTGTAACTGCTGAGATACTGTGATATCGATATATAGATATTCTGATTACTTTTGCATCAAGACAGCTGCAAATATTTCCAAGGGAAAAAAAAAAAAAAAAAAAGGACAGCTTTTTCAAGGACATCCAACTTTTGATTAACTCTCATTTTTCTGTCTGTCAGAAAATTTATTTAGTTATGAAACCACACTTGCACTTTCAAGATTCTGTCAATTCAAAGTATCATTTCTCCTTGTGGGACTTTACATCTATTGTTATAAATAACGCCCTCCTTGTTCTCACATTGAAAAAGCAAATGGAAGGAAAATCCAATAGAAGTTCAGTCAGGGTTCACATTATTTCCAAATCATGTAGAACATCCATTTCCAGCTATATGACAGTAATTCAGCATTAGCATAGTATACCAAAAACACAGCTATGTCTGTGAGAGCTCAACCCTGTTCTGTGCATCACAAGTCAACACTTGCTACTGACTCCATGAAAACAAAAAGTCACGCTTAAACTTTCATAGACTTGGTCTATTACTAGGCTTTTCTTCTGCTCCCCTAACATGAGATGTCATGTGAGCGATGAAGACAGGATATCTGTGCAACACCAAGCATCAACTGTGGCAGGCTGAGTATCTACCCGAGTCCATAGAGCATCTTCAGTTTCAACTCAGATTTCAGATCAGCCACATCAAAAGCCCAGGTCAGGGACTGGCCAAAGGCACTTTTTCTAAATGCACATCTCCTTGTCTATTAATGATCAGTGGTTACTGAGTGAACACTCACTCAGATCAGAAAAGCATTAAGGGCTGTGTTAGGCGTATGCTTAAAATGAAGAATATGCTTCAGAGCTTTCTTGAACTGAAGCCTGGGACTTGACATAACTGTTCCCAGGACGCCTGAAACAAATTGCCAGTCAGTTGTGAGCTTCTTTGGATCTTTATTGGATTATTGAGTCCAAGTTGTGCCATAATAGCTGTGAAAAGAGGTGGAGTGCCTTTTTTTTGTTGTTGCCAAAATCTCAGCAAGGCTAAGCGATGTTTTCCAAGGACCAATGAAGGAAAACATGACTACATTGACCAAACTTTAAAGGTGCTGAGTGCTTCAAAGGGATGCCTTCTGCATATGCTTTAGTAAGAAGCGCAAGTATTATACAGCTCTCAGATATCAGGATTCTGCAGGATAAAGTCCCTGCTATGTACACTGTAGTGGCAGTGCTGCTTGATACACATAATTTTGAAATGGTTGTGTGCTAAGCAGACTGCAGTTGCAGGTAAAGGACACCTTTATATTCAGTCTAGCTAAGGTTATGACAGGTTTAAAAGCATTACAGTTTTAACTTAATATGCTATCACTTTAAAATCCACACTAGCTGTAAAGACGTTGTGAAAATGACCATTTTATAGACACAAATTAGGGTATGTTTTCTTGATGCTTACCTGAAGGCATGGTGGTTTATGATGGCTTATTTTTATTCAGAATTGTACTTCTACAGATCCTTTCTGGGACTTAAGTACTTGCTTCCAAATGTCAGTTTATGAAAGCAAGCACTCCCTAGCCCAGCCACAGCCTTGTATTATGCTCACTAGGTGCTTTTACTAGCAATATTGGTCTAGAATCTAAAGCAGAAGGCCTGGTGCATTAGCTTCTGCAATGTTCAAACTATCCACAGGGAGGAGACTGCTATGCTGGATCAGTGAACTATGATGTTCTCCAAAGAGGCACGTCCAAGAGGAAACTGCCACACTGTTCTATGATTGAAATGTTGCACTTCCAACAATACAATGTCAGTCCACTTGTCACCACTTTCAGCACTCATCTTTTAAGTGAATTTAGTGCTTTGAAAAGTGCCAGATAAGCCGACCTTGAACATTGTTTTCATCTATTTGCAAACGTCAAGCTTCAAGGATTGCTGTAGAAGCACCATGTCTTAGCCTTGAAGCAGGGTACCTAATTCTAGAGTTTGCTTAAGTTTGTTCACGTTCTGGCTTCGTATGTTCCGTATGCTGCTTCACAGGCACCAGGAAATGGTGAGGCTTGTCTAACACAGAAATTTTGGTTTTAAGAAGGAAACCAGGCCTGTAGCACAAAATTCTATGGAAGTTGATTTTTGTTGCCCAAGGGTCTGCACACATCCAGCCATCCATCCATTCAATGTAAACCCAGCTTTCTTGCACATTAATATTACTGCTAGAGAGAAGAGGTCTTAGCTGATTGTCATCAAGCGTTCCTTATGCCAATTAAAAATGCATCTGTTGATATCCTGCCCTGGTCTCTTTCAACTTCTACTGCCCAACTGCCATGGGAATCCAAAGCCTCCAATGTTTGTGAGCAAAAGGGTATGCTTTCTTACAAAGAAGGAGTAGACGAAGCCTTGTGCTCCTGCTGGGAACAGGAGGCTGTGGGTGGAGGCAAGGGAAACCAGCCTACAGGGATGTAGAAGAAACAGGCTGTATGTGGGGCTGCACAGATAAGACACAAGCCATGGGGTGGTAAAGGCACAAGAAATAAAGTTGCTAAGATGACCACTCAATCAATTCATGCCAAGTTTATGCCTTACTCATCTGTATCATGAAGAGGGAGGGCTGAATGGATTTGCCACACTTTTGCAAGGCATGCCAGCTGCAACCTGGTCTGACCATAGCAGCACTGGGGGCTGAGGGTATGATAGAGCAGTTTGGGGCTCCAGAGCCATGCCATAGGGTGCTGCAGAGGCTGACCAAAGAACAGGACAGGGACTAGCTGGAACAGGGAGTAATCTTTCTCCCTGATAAATGCTGGTGGTTGTATCTGGGGAGGCTCCAGCACTCCTGGAGACAATGTCAAATCCAACCCCCAGCTTTTGCAGGCACTGTATT